TATCTATCTATCTATCTATCTATCTATCTATCTATCTATCTATCTATAAAAATGTGTACAAAGCACAGAAAAGTGATGGTTTTCTAATAGTCAGCAGGTCTTTTTCCCATTTGAACATAAATTAAATTTAACATGAAAGTTCAGGACATTTTTCTTATCGATGCAATACACATGAGTTTAGGTTTATTCATTTGCTGACCTAGTTTGGATTTTAGTTTAACAGGTTAAGGGTGTTTCATACTTTCTGCCTGATGAAAATCTAAGTTATCTCTCTTTACTCAGTGTGGAGAATCATGTCTCTCAAGCTTTCTGAAACCATAGAAATACTTTTCTTTTTCCATCAACAAACCTGTGAAGTCACAAGACAGGAAGTGGATGTAATCGTGATTCTGTTTTAGCCGGTACCTGCGTGTAGTGGCCCACGGGATTCCCGTTGGTGGACCCGTTGGGGTAGGAGTACTGGGCCACCTCACTGTGCCAGGCGTTGACCACGGTGGTCCACGGGAACTGGGAGGACGAGTAGAACAGGTTCTCCCCCGATTCATAACCTGGTTAATGGAGAGAGAGACGCTGTTTCAGCTCCCTGATGCCATTTAGATCAGTGTTTTTCACCCTTTTTTGAGCCAAGGAACAGTTTTTCATTGAAATAATCTCGAGGCACACCACCATCCAAAAATGTTAAACAAATCTGTAGCCGCCTATAGTAACACTATAGTTATTCTTATTTTATTCTTATCTTAAGTGTCTTGAATAGGAATCAAATAAACAAAAAAATGTATTTTTATCATATTTTATATTTCTTCTTTCAAATTGCTCTTAACATGTCCACTTCAATATGCAAAATTATATACAAAATCTAGTCATAAGGAATTATTACATGATTACGCCACCAGTCACTAGAACAGCACAGACACTCAAAAATGGCATATTATTTGCAGAAAATTCTCCAAAAATGTTTTTTTAGACCAATTAGGTGAAAAAGGATGATTTTCTACAGCACACCTGACCATCACTCGCGGCACACTAGTGTGCTGAGGCACAGTGGTTGAAAAACACTGATTTAGATGATAATGGATTTTGCTCACAGACTTTTTGTTGTTAGAGGAAGGCATTAGGTCTAACGACGAGAAAATGTTCGCACCATTTGACAGGGAGCTCTTTACACCTAAACTGGAAAAAGGAAAAAGGGGAATGTTTGGTGCACGTGCAGAGTTCCTAAATCTGTTTGAGTCTAATGGAGTCTATCCGTGCAAAAGGATTTGATTCACATCTGGGTGTTTAAATCCAGGTGTGACAATTGGTTTAATTTCAGATGGACCAACGTGTTTAAACGCATTTCATCAGGCTTTTCTCTGTGGTGGTCAGAAAGGGTGTTGGCAGGAGGAAAAGTGACTCTGCCACTGGGAAAACAACAGGGGTAAAAAAGGAATAAAGAAAAGCTCTGTGCACCGTTGAGCAGGCGGGAGGCGGGCGGTCCGTGGGCGAGGACGCACTTATCGGCCCAGGCCTGAGCGGTGGCGGCCAGCTCCTCACTGTAGGACTGAGACACAAACACAAACACAGGTTTCACTCCAAGCTGATGCAAAAAAACACAATCCATCAAAAGGTCTTTCATCTGAAACATGATCGAAATCGCTTTGATTTTGAGTGAAAGCAGTT